AGGGGGCGGAGGAGATGAGGAGACCTTGGGGTTGCCCTGGAACTCAAGCTCGACGTAGGGGATGTCCCAATCCCAGATCTTGTCTCCTCCCGGGTTGCTGGGGTCGTAAGGAGGAAGCAGTTCCTGCACTTTGTCGCAGAACTTCTTAAACTCCCTGTCGAGCTTGCTAACCATCTCCTTCTGCCTTTGCTCGTCTTCGATCTCGTCCCTGTCGTAGGGGTTCTTTCTCTTGTTCTCCATCAGACTTTCTCCGTCCTCTAGCCACTCCAGGAAGAACTGGATGTCTCGAGTCGACTGCTTGCCGATCATGATGGCGTTCTTGAGACGGAAGTGGAGGAGGATGAGGTTGCTGTGCTTGTTCGAGGGCTGGAAGAAGGCATGCTTGATGTTGCGGTACAGGATGTCGATGTGCTTCAGGTCGGGGGACGGGGCCTTCTTGACTGCAAACCGAAAGCCGTTGACGTGCGCCTCAAGATCTCCTTCCGTCTTCCTTCCTCTCGCCTGGATGTTGGGGTAGATCCTCAGGTTCTGGAGCCTGGGCCCTCTGTTGGGGTTCAGCCGGAGAGGCTCCTGGGGGACGAGCTCGTCTCTTGCCTTCCTTTCTCGCTCCTCCTGCTGGTACGTCTTCTTCATCGCCATGATCTGCTGGTGGACGAGGATGAGGTTCTGACTCTCCTGCGCGCGGTAGGAGAGCTCACGGAGGTAGATCGCGTCCTTGTTGACCCCGATGGACACGCCTGCTCCTGGGCTCACAAAGTTGATGCGGAGAACATTTCCGGCGATTCCTTGCGACTGGATGCTGGCGTTCTTGACTGTGGAGATGTGGAAGGGGACGGGAAGGCCGTTGATGGGGACGAGGATGGTCTGAGCTGCCTCGTCGATGTAGAGCTGAAGGTAGCCCTTGTTGCTCCATGCACGTGAAGGAAAATCTTCAGTTCCGAGGTACCCCGAAGTCTGAGACCTCTCGCGCTTGTCATCAGATCCTGAGGACTCGTTATACCTCCTCCTCCTCTGCTCTTCCACTCTCTGCAGGGCGAGCTGGTTGTTTCTTTCCTCGAAGTCCTTCCTTGCCTGCTCCTTCTCCTCCTCCGACAGCTTGTGGGACAACTTCTGTTTCTCGAGCTCCTTCAACTTTCTGTCGAGCTCGTCCTGTACAGACTTCTTGTTGTCGGATTTCTTCTCCTCGTCTCCGTCGTCTGACACGTTCCAAGAGACTTTGCTGTGCTTTTTCGGAGCGTTTGTCAGGCACTCCGCACCGTCCTTAGTGATGAGGAATGTGTCCGCCAGCAGCATCGAGTACTTGGAGCTCTTTGGGTCTTTCGACTGAATGCTAAGGTTTTCAAGCCCAATTCTCAGGCACACCAGCATCCCAACTTTCAGTGTACTTCTGTTCTTCTCGTCGAACACGAATCGCTTCTCCCTCAGCTCGTAACCTAAGCTCCAGCCCAGCTCCTTGGTAAGGTTGCCAAGCAAACTTGGCTTCTTTGACTTGAGAAGGTCACTTGCCGCCTCGTACACCTTGTTCATCCTTGTGCCAGGCTTCAGCAGCCCCTGGCATTTTTCCACCACCTCCAGCAGCAGCCGATAGTTTGCTTCCTGCTCGGGCTTAACATTGAACAGCAATGTGCGGGCCAACATGCCGAAGCAGGACTTGACCCGGAGAGAAACAGAGCTGATGTAAATAGCTGGGACTCCCTTGTCAGGGAGGTTCAGGGGGGATTCCTCCGTCAGAGCCGAGTACTTAAGGTCGTAGGTGCCGCTCTGCACGTTGGGGGGGATAACAACTTCCACATCCTCGACGTCCACAGGAAGCTGAAGAGGCGCAATGGTCTTGGGAAGCTCGTTCTCCACATGCTCCGAGATCTTGGTCAGCATGAACTTCTCATTGCTGTCAACTACGTCGAGGATTTTATTGAGGCAGCTCTTGAACGCTGCTGTGTTGATGGTACCTGCCTGTCTTGCCGCCTCGACCTGCTTGTCTGACTTGATGGCAAGGAAGTCCGTCAGTCCGTTGGTGATGTCGACTTTGGAGATTCCGCTGGCCTCCCCCAAAAAGCTGTTCCATTCCTGCGCGAATGACCCATCGTACTTCTCCTTCAGGAGAGTCCCAACCTTGGTCTCGCTCCGTTCCTCCTTCATCTCTCCAAGAATGTACTGAAAGTTCGCCTTGTCCTTGTCGCTCTTGTCACGAACGCGGACTTCAACCTTGGTGGGGAACTTGGACGGAAGGTCATCCGCCAAGGCCTGCAGCACCCTCGCCTTCTTGCTCGCCGCAAGGAATATGATCTTCTTCGGACACAGCACGGTCAAGATGTCGTGCAGCTCTAGTGAGAACATCGCTGCAGAAACAAAGTGTCATCCTACTTGACAGCCAGCCAGCTCCGCAAGGCAGCATCCAACAGCACACGGTCAACAAGCATCGGACCTGTAATGAGAGATTGAGCCTTTGGGAACTTGATCACGTCCTTGGAGTCCGAGTCGCAGGCAATGGCAATCACATCAGCCTTCGGTCCCCATGCATCCGTGTCCTTCTCAGCCTGCACAAATCCATGATGAAGGATCAGGTGAAGAGCAGAGCGACGACTACCTTCCATTTCTCGTAGAGTCTTCCGCAGACATCGGTGAACTGAGAGGCGGAGAAAAGAACCTTTCCATCATCCTTCTTGTCACCACCTCCTTCCTGCTTCACCTCCACCTTAACTTTCGCATCCTTGACCTCCTTGGCATGGTTAGGGTCCTCCTTGGCCTCCTCCTTGACCTTTATCTTCTCTTCGTCGGCCATGCTTTGATCACTGTCAAAACCAGATTCACAAACTGAAAAATTCGTTTGATCGCGTCTGATAGTAAAGGTCGTGTACACCACGCTGCAACGTCCAAGCGAGGGGATCTAGTTGCTTGTGTATGGTGTGCAGTTCAAAATGCAACCTTGTCCTCTCACGATCATTACTCTGTGCTGCGCTCAAGCTCCGATTACTATGATCGAATCATGAACGATCACTTCAATTCCACCTTTCCTACGCCGTTTCCTTTCTTGCGCTTCAACTGCTCCGACATTCACTGAATCATCACAGGTACCCCCTGAGTCTCTGTCTCTCCTCCTCCCCCGTCTGTCTTGCCTGCTGCTCCCCTTCGTTGCTCCCCATCTCACCACTCCACTCTGTCCCTCCGTCCTATCATGATACGCTTCTCCCCCTCCCTTCCCCCGCCATCGTCCCCTCCTCTTCCTCCTTCCTCCTGCATTTCTCTGCCCTTCTCATCCTCTTCCCGCTAAAACCAACAAAACACTCAACTACCACCCCACCCTCATCAGCAAGGATTCAGTCCTACCCCCACCCCCTCATTCTCACCTCATACCGTGATAACCCCACCATTCGTCATTCATCCACCCTCCTATTCCCTCTCACCACCCTACCCTACGTACCCATGAGTATCTCAATCACCACAAGGGTTCTATATGAGTGGGTTTCACACCCTTCAACATACCCCACTACATGGCAACCCCACCCACCTACACTACTCAATCAAGGATACCACCCTACCCCCATGTAACAGGTTACCCACACGCTTTGTACCAACACCACCCCCTTTTGCATGTTTTTTTTGAAATACTACCCTACTGTACCCACGGGTTCGTGCTGATCCCAGGAGAAGGGGTGGGGGTAGTAAATCTCGAACAGAAGCGGGGTACCAGGGGGTAGTTTGGTGAGGAAATAAGGGGTACTCCAGAGGGCAGAGGGCATGAATCCAAAAAAAGCGAAGGCATGGAGGGAAAGAGCAAGGGGAATGGGCGGATTTCACCGCAAGGTCGGCATGGGAGCATAAAACAAGTCAAATGACACAGAAAGAGCAGCAAGACACTGCGAGCAAGTTATTTCTTCCTCCCATGTTCACATCATTCAGCCCTCCCCCCCCCTCCCCAAGACGGATATTTCCTACAGCACCAACATTTCATTGGACATTGGTTCGAGGGTGCCACAGATTATCATCGTATACGATGTGCAAGTCAACAGCCTTCATGTCTCGCCAAAGTCAAAGTCAACTCAGCCTCCATTTCCCAGCATGCTAGACTTTATTATCAGTGTCACTCGCACTGCGTGCTGTTTCCGTTTAGACCGATGCAAGGGACAACCTTTCAGTTGCGTTCCCCTGTCAGAGTTGGATGTGACTGCATGTCCAAGACGCGCGTCCTTTGCCATATCAAGTCAACGGCTTCAAGCACCACCGTTTCCTGTAAGAACTTCAGCAAGAACTTCAAAAACTGCATGAGTCAACCAGCTTCACGCTCGGCGTTCCATTGAGCGATGCGAGCACGACGAGCAGCACTGCATTGCCCTCGTCACTCAAGGTCTCTGCACGCCACAAGCTCCTACCTGCCGCTCCTGCTGCGTTCACGTTCCCGGCGTTCCTCAGGTCTTCCGCGGTCATCGCGGCGCCTATCATCATAACGACCTGCAACAAATGTCATCACAGGCTCGACCTTGTAGCTAAATCACGCACCACGATCATCACGACGATCATCCTCTCTGCGACGGTCATCATAGCGACGGTCTTCATAGCGACGATCATAGCGGCGGTCGTCGTAGCGTTCGCGGTCACCGTACCGACCACCCCTGTCTTCGTATCGACCTCCGTATCCACCGCCACCGCCGCCTCCTCCACGATATCCACCACCACCACCACGATAGCCACCTTTGCATGTTGTCAACGCAAGACCAAGGAAACAACAGCAAAATACCTCCTCCTCCTCCTCCTCCACCACCACCACCACCACCACCGCGTGCAGCATCGAAGGTTGTGCGGATCCCAAGCCTCTTGCACACTTCTTTGCTGGGCCTCTTGATGTGCATAAAGTTGCAGTGGCCGCCGTACTTGCATTGGGTTTCTTCATACTGCCTGCACCTCGATTCGCGAAAGTCCGTGACAGGGGAGTACTCTGCCATGATCAACCTTCCAGCATAAAAACGACCGTTCAGTGCATTCAGCGCCTGATGGAGTAGGAAATATCAAAATTTTAGTGCCAGAGGCTGCGAATAATGAGATAAGAACCTTTTCCGCTTGTTCTTCTTCTTCGTACTTGACGTACACATTGCCAATCATGTGATCGCCGAGGTTTGCGCATACATTCAGCTCCTCGATCTTTCCAAATTTCTCAAGCTCTTCGTAGACCTGAAATTGTGTCACTCACACACCTTGCATTCAGCACAACACCAACGTGCACACCTCCTCGTAAAACTCATCGAAGTGATCTTGCGAAGCCTTGTCATCGGCAGCAGTGGCCATGGCAGTAGGTCCAGACATCATCTGGGCAGAAGCCGGGGCTTGATACATGTGCGATAGAAGAACCTGCACAGTGTCAGATGCCCGGAGTAAAGTGCAGAGCGACAACCGTCTGTGAGAAAAGGGGCTTGTTGTGCTGACGAGAACACCGGTCTCCATGGCGGCAGGCTCCGACTTTGAAGTAGAAGGGACAATTAACCCTGGATGATTCATCCGATTCAAAACATGGAATGAAAGCAGGCAAGTTCAATCCAAGTCATTGAGATTCAGGGATATGCAAAGTTTGAGGGCAGTGGGTAACAACCTGTCAAGCTCTGTCCCGTGAATACTCGCGAGACGGTCGGCCATCTGTTATCAAGCAATGAGATTCCCTTTTCAAACAGAAAAACAAACAACAGAGCATTTAGTGTATGGCCCTACATATGTCGTAATCGACAAGTCATCAATGAGCGTCAATGGTTTGAAACGGATCCATGAAACATGTAATGGCTGCTGTGTTGGAAGATTCGAGACTTGCTCGCTAACATCTTGTTTTCCACCTTCAAGTCCATCGCACGGTTCTATAGGAGCACGAGTATTCCTGGATACATCGCATGCTTGCAATTTTCAGACAAAACTTTGAAAACTGCGAAACTACATATTCCCGCTTTTTCAGTGCGTGCTTTGCACAGAACTTTCATAGTCAACGAGTCTGCAGCTACTGTGTCTCTCCATCTTGATGAACAAGATCGTATCATTCCAATGATGCATATTCTCCTACTCCTCCACCATCGTCACATCTATTGCCGCCGCCTCCTCCTCCCTGCATCCCTGCAGGCTTCCCGCCATTCCCTCCTCTGCGTGCCTCTGCCGTCGTCACGTGGACCCTGCACTACCCCCTCAGTGCTCTACACACCCCTATTTTCTACCTCAAGTACCCCCATTTTGAGGAAATCGAGTTACCTATTTGAGTACCCCTACCCCTGCCATCCACCACTCCACGCCGGGTAACTCCTCATCCCCACCATGACCAGAAAGCATTCGAAACGGAAATCACGGATTGTAACTGTCTGATACTGAGATGCTGAAGAGTCGCTCTGCTTGTTATGCCGGAGCTAGCGATGAAAGGAAGAGGGAGTAGGGGGGGAGGGAGATGACAGGACAGGACAGGACAGGACAGGACAGGACAGGACAGGACATGAGAGGAAAGGAAAGGAAAGGAAAGGAAAGGACATGCCAGGACTGGGCAAGAGGGAAGCAGACACCCTGGAAAGCAAGGCGCGATTGAAAAGGAGCGATGGGGAAAGGAGGGAGGCAAGGAGGAGGCAATGCTGGGTTTGCGAAGGAACACATGATTCAATGGAATAGTTTATTGAGTGAGCAGCTCATTTGAATCAGGATATGTATAGGTTTTTTATTCTTGTACGTACTCAACACAGAGACGGCCATCAGTCGAGCTTTATTTTCTCTTACTTCATCTTTCCCTCCTCCCTTCCGCCTCCACCATCCCCTAACTTTCTTGTTGTGACCAGGTTCAGAGGTGGCTCGATGTGCCTGAACTAAGTGACCTCCATGCCGACGTTGGGAGCAGCTCAGAAGGGCCTCGTGCTCACAGCCTGTCTAACAGCCTGTCTGCTCTTCGTATTGATATCCGTTGCTCGCCAGCCTTCTTCGCTGCTGCAGACTGACCATGGGCTCTTGGACTACCAAGACGGCAAGACCAGCTTGAGTGACATCGCTGAGTACGTGCCGACGCCTCCCCGAGGCTCTTCGTCGTATGTGCAAGCGATTGCTACGGGAGCCCTTCCTCCCAACGCAGGGAAGGAGGCGGTGACTGCGGCAGATATATCTTGCTTCTTCCAGGGCAAGATCTTCTTGGACTTCATGAACATGTGCTGCAATACTCTCTACGTGTCTCCCTTCGACCAAGAGCTGCTGCCGATGGACTTCGCTCTCAGCCCGGTAGAGAAGCCCTACCAGCAAGGCCTTCCTTTCGGCGTTCGGTTCCGATACTGGGTGGGAAACTCCAACGACATCGTCTTCAATGGAGGGACCCAGAGGACGATAGAGTTCATCAACAAGTACTTCGGCTATGAGCTCAAGACTGTCGCTGCATCCTCCAAGTTTGTCCGCAAGTTTCATGCCGATGACAACGGAGAGCCGGACGAGGGCGTGCTGGACAGCATGGTCCATGCGCTTGCTCGCCTGCCGGAGGAGCTGCCATTGTACGAGGGCATGACGGTGGTCGACGTCGCTTCCCTTCCTCCTGCCTCGGCCGTAATCTTCGACAACGTGCCCAAGGGGACGCACAAGTACAAGTCACAATGCTCGAGCAATGGCTGCTTCCTCGACGCTTCGGGGGTGGAGGGAGTAGCGAGCCCGATGTTCAAGATCAAGTACTGCGAGGCGAGGGATCCTGAAGCTCGCATCAACGCTGGTCTCCCTGTCAAGGTGGAGCCGCAGGACTGCGGGAAGCTCTTGGACGAGTACAATTTGAGCTGCAAGTGTGGGCACATCATCTTCCTGGGATGGACGTGGCCGGAAGCTGAGCTCAACATTTGGGACAAGCCTCTGCTCTTCATCGACGACAGAGCGCCAGGAGCTTGTGACGTGGCTGATGCTCCGGCTCAGCCCATGCCGGCCGTGCAGCCTCGTGCCACGGCAGCTCCAGCTGAGCTGGACCCGGAGGCCGCCTGCCGCGACTCGCCCTCGTACGATGCGGCGGCTCAGCACTGGTACTACTGGCAGGAGGCATCGGAGGGCGGAAAAGTCAAGATGGTGCGACACTGGTGCCCTTCTGCATGGGTCCCCCAGGTGCGTAGACCTCTTTCTCGTTTCGCTTTCCTCTGTTTCCTCCTTTTCTTCTGCTTTCTCTTCTCTTCTCATATCCCCCTAATCCTCCTATTTCGTTCCCCGTCGCAAGTTCTGTGCTTCTACTCCCCTTCCTCAACCCCTCTCCCCGCTCCCTTCCTGCCTTTAGCCCCTCTCACCCTTCCGAGCAGGAGATGTGGTACAAGTACCAGCGGTATCTCCCGCGGACGTCCAACAACCTTCCTCCTCCTCCCATCAACGACTTCGACTTTCTCAACTCCTTCGCGCGCGACTACTACTCGAGGAGCAGAGCCAAGTCGAGGAGAGACGCCAACGTCAAGACCTTCGACGACTGGAGGATGGGGAACCATGTAGCTCGCCTCAAGTACCCGACGAGCAGGAGGGAGGAAGGAAACGAGCAGCAGGCTCCTCTTGACGCCTGGAACATGGGGAAGATGCGCTGCTCGGGCTCCGACTGCTTCGACGTGTCGCATCATAGCGGACAGCACGCCAACGGCGTCCAGCCCTACGATGACTACGCAATGATGGGAGGAGGGCGATGAAGTGGAGGCAGGTGCTGGGAATAAGGGGGTTAGTGGAGGAGGAGCAAGGGAATGCAAGTTGTTTCACTACTGCACGTTGTCTTTCTTGGCAGTACCCATACCATCATCGTCTCCTCTGCTGTTCACTTCAATACCATCATCGTCTCCTCTGCTGTTTCACTTCAATTCCTTTTGTCTTCTTTCCGCCGTGAATCTCCTCGGAACCTCTTCCGATCTTCTTGTCTACCCCCTCCCTTCTTCCCTGTGTTTCATCCTCCTGCTTGTCCCGAACGCTCCTCCTCCTCTTTCTCCTTCCCCTACCGTTGCTGCAGCCGTCAAGTGTTCAGGCGAGGATTACGTCCTTGCGAGCGGAGAAAGAATGAGTCGAGAAGTTTCTGCGAGAGCAGCATCTCCTTCCCGACCTCCTTCAGCTGCTCCTGCGTTACCTGGAAAGTTTTCACGATTTGTGAGAGCTCGGAACAGAAGGAGGACGAAGACAAGAAGGGGGAGGAAATGCGGAGGAGGAGGAGGTGGTGGTGGTGTGAGGCCGAAGGGGTAAAGGGAGGATGAGGAGGGTCACCAAATCTCCTGAATACGTTCGGCGAAGATTTTCTAGTCCTGGGAATGAAGTGTAAGAGGACGAAGAGAGTTGAGGAGGGGCAAAGGGGAGGGCTTGGGTTGTCAAATGACAGAGCGAGGAGAGACGAGGGAGGACGAGGGAGGAGGACGAGAAGAGAGGAGAGAGGAGAGGAGGAAGAAGAGGGACGAAGGAGAGGGAAGAAGAGGGACGAAGGAAGAGTTCACCTCTGCAAGCGTCGCTGATTATTCTTGACCATGCAGGAAATTCATCGACCGAGCTGTTTCCTTCTTCTGCTCACGAGCCTTCAAAGGCAGAAAGCTCTTTTCTCTCCTCCCCCCTCCCTCCACACCTCTACCTCTTGCCCCCTCCCTCCTCTCTCCTCCCCTCCCCTTCCCTCACCGACAGCAATGATGCTCTTCTCAATGTGGCTGCGGACTCGGCGGTTGAACGTTCGAGCCCACTCGACCGTCACCTCCCTGCTCTGCTCCAGCTCATCCCCAGCTGGTCTGCAAGAGTCCTCACCTGCTTCTTCATGAAGCGCGAGAAACCCCCGGACACGCTGGGAGATTGTCGGCGGATCTTCTGCTCCTCAACGCACACCTTGTCGCCCTCCTCCAGCGAGCCCTGGCGCGCGTCATGAGCAGCGCCAGCAGGTATGAAGAGTTTGGGGGGAAGTGTGATATGATATCGCACAAGGGAACGCAGGAACAGAGACAACAGGGGAAAACAGAAGGGGATGAGGATGGCGAGCAATCTGGAGAGGAGGAAAGCACGCGCAAGAGCGAACGAGAAACAAGGTTGGGACGAGGAGGAGGACGAGATCGAGACCAAGATCAAGAGGGAGGGCTTCAGAGAGGTGTAGAAATCTTCATGCTGAGAAAGAGACTTCGACCCTGCTGGCAAAATATGAGCAAAGCATCAAAGAAAGATTCTCTGCTGATTTTGCTCCTACATCACTCAAAATGCTCTCCTTTTTCTCCCCATTCCTTCGCTCCACTTTCTGTGCAATTTCTCCCTCCTGCTCCTTACCTCCTTGTTTGTCTTGGAACTCTGGCAGATCCTCTCCGAGAATCGCTGGTTCCAGGTAAGAAGAAGGCTCCCAAAGAGCTGGTTGACAAAAGGGGCAGCAGAAGGAGGAGAAGTAGGAGATAGGACTGTCTCAACCTGAGAGGGCGGAGGTGGAGGCGGGTGGTGGTGGAGGAAGGCCAGCATGATCAGACGCCGACAGAATCCCTTTTCGCTTGCTCGTGCTCTGTTCTCCTTTCTCATCTTCTACCCCCTCGACCGCGTCTGGTCTGGTTTTTGCTTCTTCCACTTGCCTCTTTCGAAGCTCCTCCGTGCGAGCCTCATCCTCCTCTTTCCGTCTTGCGATCTTGATTTTCAACTCGTCCTTCCTTGCCAGCTCTTCTTCTGTCAAGCTCTGTCCTCCAATCCCCCTAAGTTCCAGCAGCCGGTGCTCCTGCTCCTCTCTGTGCTGCTCAGCCCACTGGAACCACGTCTTGCCTTGAGGGAGGAGGACGAAGGTATGTTTCTTGCTCCCAACCATCACCACTTGATCGCCCAGCCACATCACCTCCGTGGACTTTTCTCTTCCGTTTTCCTCCCCCTCTTTGCACATGGTGAGAGTTCCTGTCTCCCCTTTCGGGATCACGTGCATTGCCGTCCTTCCCACCCTTGTAATTCTCGCGCTCTCCGCGTCCATGGCCTCAAGCCTCGCCACGAACTGCAGCGAAGGAGAGGGGTCAGAAATGCTGAGGTTAAAGATGCCGAAGACAGGGAACCATGGCACGAACGAGATGAGCTTGTCGAGAGAAGGCAAGAGGAGAGGGGGAAAAGATAACGGAGGGGAAGGGAGGGGAAGGAAACAGATGAGCAGAGGAACCAGGGCGGATACAAGAGATAAGACACCTTTGAAAGCTTCTTGTCTTCCTTGTCGATCTCATTTCTTCCGAACACAAGCTTCTTCCCAATGGCACAGGTCACTTGGCCCGATGCCGTCCGGTGATCATCATCAGGAATCAGCGAGAGAGACATAGTCCATCAAGTTTGGTACACTACCGGCAAGGTTATATTGTAATCACAAAAATCCTTCCCCCGCCCCCCCCCC